GCCACATCAATATGTCATCAAACATTACATGTTAAGCATGGGAAAGAAGTAACAGTATTTCTGTTATATTGTTGCTTAGATATAGATTTGATAGATAGCTCTGGCATCTCATTAAATATGTCCTTTATTAGTTGCTACTTATGACTCTTCAAATCTTAAAACACAAATACATTTTCACAATTACACAATAAAACAAGGTTCACTATATCGCAGCTGGACTCTCACTTCACTTCAGTTCGTTCTTGTATCTCACTGACTGACTGGCAACCCCCTGTCCCTTATATACCCATGAAGTCATGGCTGACAACATTCTAGGAGGTTCAGCTAAAATGTAGTTCTCAGAAAGTCTGGAAGGTTCCATGAGATTCTACAAAGGTCCAGCATATTCTAGGAGGTTAGTGAAAAATGAATCCACCCATGGAATATCTGAAACATGTTACTTCAAAAATTCTATTTTCTCTTTTGTTGCTAATAACAAAACAGCACCCCAAGCCCAGTGCCCCTAAAGCCTGGCACCCTAGGTGGTCGCCTAGGTTGCTTGCCCCTAAATCCAGCCCTGCCCAAGGCTCCTTGCTAAGGTCATCTTGTGTCTCTGAGCTACTCCTGGTCCTGCACCCACAAGCCAGTTCAAATCAAAACTTCCATACCAGCTGACAGGAAGGAGCAGAGTAGGGAGCTATAAGAAAAGGAGGAATGGGCTGGGAGTGTTTACAAATGGTCTCTTGCACTCATTGATTGGGAATGTGGAATTGGCACATGGGGAATTTTTAAACACAGAAGTGGTTCTGCCCTTTTTCTGGGTCATTCCTTGGAGGATTATTAGCACAGTGCTAACTGGCCAATTTCTTTATGATGGTGGTGGTGGCTAAATATACTAAGTGTGCATTCATCAGCCCAGATACATGCACCTTGGGTGTGCTATAAAACAGATATATCAGAAAAAGTGACTGTAAAAATGGCAACTTCCCAGAAAACACCTCTGTTTGCTGCATTTTAGTTTAGTGACAAAAAATAAGCTTTTACTATTATCTACTCTATTAATACAGCTCCTTATGCAGTGCTCTGACATTGTAAATACTTGAAAGCTGTATCTCTCGTCTTCCACCTTCTCTTCCCTTTTGTATCTCCTAGCTTGCACTGATTTCTATTGGCATCCCAGTTATCAGGATCATTCCACCAGATTTCACTAATTTAATTTTTTTTCACTAACCCAATCACATGTTTTAGGGCCATATTCTGTTCTCCATTTTTGTGTTATAAATCTAGAGTAGCTCCAGTTTGGCCCACTAGTTCTCCGTGAGGACTGTGTTCATGCAAGTTTCAGACTTTAGCCTTTCTGATCACCTTTGCTTATACAGATCCACTTTTATGTAACAGAACGAAACACAATCTCTTGGGCTGATAATATAAGATGTTTCCCTAGGGTTTTGTGTGCATGTGTGTTTAAAATTTCAGAAAAATCTCTCCAGCCATTTTTGAATTAAGGAAAAGTGGGAGAAAACCCCACTTTCCCATTGTAAAAATCTAACCGCTTTGTATAAGCCATATAGCCCTTGTATAGAAAATATCAGCTGAAAAGGTGTTCCAAAAAACCTGTGTTTAAAACATTTCAGACTCTAGTGTGTGTCTTTAATTATGTTTTCTAACAAACTGCACACCTTTTTTTGGGGGGGGGGGGGCTCTAAATTAATTGGTACAGTCTCTTTAATAGGAGGTTGATTTGAAATTTTTTGAGGCTGAGAGATTTTTTCATAATTTGCATGACTTTGGATCTAAACTTTATCAATAACTCTCTTATGACTCTAGAAATCACTGCTGGAGACTATCAGGATGAGTGTGAATCTTAGCACCTTCAAAACAAAATGCAAATCCAGCCTTTATACAATAGCACTGCAAAAATAAAATTAAAACAAAATCTGGGTTCTGCTGACTGGAGGGAACAGAAAAACATCTTATGTGCACTCTTCATAATTTTTGAGTGGCACTCGGATACTAAGGTGATGGGGTCATCTAAGATCCAAGACAGCCACACAAATGGAAGATTCTCTAGAGTGAGGGTTGAAAATAATTTCCATTCTGAAGCCCTATGTCAAGGTTCCTCCCCCACTCTGAACTCTAGGGTACAGATGTGGGGACCTGCATGAAAAAACCCCCTAAGCTTATCTTTACCAGCTTAGGTCAAAACTTCCCCAAGGTACAAAATATTACACCCGTTATCCTTGGAATGGCCGCTACCACCACCAAACTAATACTGGTTACTGGGGAAGAGCTGTTTGGATGCGTCTTTCCCCCCAAAATACTTCCCAAAACCTTGCACCCCACTTCCTGGACAAGGTTTGGTAAAAAGCCTCACCAATTTGCCTAGGTGACTACAGACCCAGACCCTTGGATCTTAAGAACAATGAACAATCCTCCCAACACTTGCACCCCCCCTTTCCTGGGAAATGTTGGATAAAAAGCCTCACCAATTTGCATAGGTGACCACAGACCCAAACCCTTGGATCTGAGAACAATGAAAAAGCATTCAGTTTTTACAAGAAGACTTTTAATAAAAAATAGAAGTAAATAGAAATAAAGAAATCCCCCCCTGTAAAATCAGGATGGTAGATATCTTACAGGGTAATTAGATTCAAAAACATAGAGAACCCCTCTAGGCAAAACCTTAAGTTACAAAAAAGATGCACAGACAGAAATAGTTATTCTATTCAGCACAATGCTTTTCTCAGCCATTTAAAGGAATCATAATCTAACACATACCTAGCTAGATTACTTACTAAAAGTTCTAAGACTCCATTCCTGTTCTGTCTCTGGCAAGAGCAGCATACAGACAGACACAGACCCTCTGTTTCTCTCCCTCCTCCCAGCTTTTGAAAGTATCTTGTCTCCTCATTGGTCATTTTGGTCAGGTGCCAGCGAGGTTACCTTTAGCTTCTTAACCCTTTACAGGTGAGAGGAGCTTTCCCCCTGGCCAGGAGGGATTTCAAAGGGGTTTACCCTTCCCTTTATATTTATGACACCCTATTTTTGGCCTCTGTAATTTTAGCTTGGAAAATCGGTTTGGCCTGAAAAATTACTAGATTTACTCTGATGACAAAACAAAACAAAACCTACAACGTTTGAAGAAAATTCATCAAATGTTAGTTTGAGCTATTGGTCATTTAAAAAAAATTACCCTGATTTGATATGGTCTTTTGCCTCCCCCAGGCTCAATGAAACATGTGTTACTAGCCCTTCAAACTTTCCTTATTGTCAAAAGCTACAGAGCAGGCCATAGTTGAAGAAAAATTGTTGTGATTAAGCAATGTTATTAATAATATATTGTGTTAATTGTTTTGGGAGGTGAATTGATGAGAGTTTTGGGCTCAATCCTGTTCCTGTTTTTTTTAACCACTGATTGCAGTGGGACCAGTATTGGGTACTCTAGATTTTTCAGAGCATGCTGTGTGATAGCAGATTAAAAAGAGCAACGGGATATTCAGGGTTCCAGTCCCAGTTCTGCAAGCATTTAGTTTATGATTATTTAGGTCAACATAGCTAATGGTAGCTTCTCCATCGTTAATGGTGCAGCTCTGGTAACATTAAGAAGGCAAATTCTGATCCCCTTTGTTACTCAAGGAATCCTCATGATCTCAGGATTTAGGGTTAAATCTACCTGACAAATAGAATTTGTTCTGATAACTTGGAATAAATGAGAACACATCATTCTTGTGATTAAACCTTCATGCACTTTTTTTTAGAAGTGTGTAACATTTCTTTGTCTTTATGTTTCAGCCCAGTGATATCAAATTGAATTACTATATTTTATATTACTATGTTGTTATCAGGTGATTAGTGTTTACAGGATCGCTATTCATATACCTAAGGTGTGGTCTACTCTTATGAACATGACAGGGATGTGACTTCTTTTATTTTTATTTTTTTTTGCTGACATAGTTATATTGGTAAAACCCCTTGTGTAGATGCAGTTAGATGGATGTAAAAGTGAGTTTTTCACCACCTGGAGTACCATAGCTATGTTGACCTAAATTCCAAGCGTAGACCAGCCCTTGTAGTTTAGATTACTGAACAGGAATAAACTATATTGGTATAAGCACTTTTATGCTGGTGTAGCTACATTTACTTTTGATACATCAACCACGCTAGACTAATTGAGAAGTTTAGTTCAAGTGGCCAACCTTTTAAATGTTGACAAGCCCTTGGGGTTTCCAGGATCAGGTCCTTAAAGCTAGACAGACCTGTCCCCACCTCATTTTCTCCCTGTTCATGTGCTCTCACATAGGAATTCACTTCTTGGCATTATAGTGCTGATTTTTTCAGACAGGCGCTTTAGGAAGTTATCCAGGCTCTATTAATATCCCCCAGCTAACTTGTTTCCATGACTGGGGGGAAGATTTCAGCAGTATTCATTCCAGCTGCAGTTCATGCCAGGCAAACAAGCTGATTAATACGTGAGGGTGCTCACAACCCTGACAACACAGTCCCTGCTGCTCTAGACACTTCAATGGAGTTATTCCAGTGATGAATTTGGCCCAGGCTGCCCAGCAGCTATAGGGTCTGGCTAAAGCTTCACGGGGGTGGTTGTGATTTTTCCAAAGAGCTAATCAGGGAGGAAGTGAAGACCTAAAAAGATAGGAGAGAAGAGACCCCTCTCCCCCTAAGGAAGAGTGAAGCCAATTTAGGATGTAGAACAGGGGTAGTCAATTATTTTTTTGTCACTGTTCTAATTGCATGGCCAAGGTACAGTGAAGGTCTCGATTCCAGATAAAATCATAATAAAACCCCCCAAGAATAATGATAAGTAAATAAAGAGATGGTGGGGTCCCTTCAAAAGCCTCTGGCTCTCTGGAGTTGGCCCTTGATCTGCCCGCTGCCTACCTTTCCCCTGTAGGCCTTTCCCCCCAGGAAGGAGGCAGTAAGCGTTAGAGGAGGGGACAACGTTTGCCCTTGCCACCTGCAACTAACAAAGGCAGCTAATTGCCAATTAAAGCGCCATCCCCGGGCCGCGGCCCGCGGGAGCCGAGAGAGCACTGGCCTGGGGGCTGGGAAGGCGGCTGCTCGCCCTCGGGGTGCCGGCGGGGCACAGAAGCGCGTCCGCTGCCGCAGGCGGCTGCTAGCTTGTGGTTTCTGGCGAGCGGGACTCGGTCCCGGGAGGGAGGTGGGGCCGCAGGAGCTGCGAGCGCGCCGGGGTGCGGGCAGCCGAGTGGTTGAAGAGGAAGAAAAAGAAGCGCCTGGAGGCGGGGGAGGGGGCTCCTCCTGTCGGGAGCCGCCGCCTCTCTCCTCCGGCGCTCAGAGCTCGGCTCCCAGCAGGGAGCGGCCGCCTCGGGAGGGGCCTCGTGGGTCAGCGGCGGGGGAAGTGGCTGAAGGTAGGTTTTTCCAGTCAGCGCCGAGCGGGGCGGGGGAGGCGAGGGCAGCTGAGGGGCACCGGGGGCTGCCTGGGACACACTGAGGCTGAAGGAAGATGGGGTGGGGCGGGTTAAGAAAAACGACGCCCCCACCCCACACGCCCCCGGTTCCCCCGGCTGCGGGCTCCCGTCTCTGCGCCGCTGGGGCTGGGCGAGGGGGGCGCCCGCGGAGGGAGCCTGCCCGGCGAGGGGAGAAGTCCAAGGCTGGGAACTGGACCCGAGGCGAGAAGCGGCACCGCTCCGGGACTGCGTCCCCCGGGGGCCGCCTGCTCCCGGGGTGTGGCTGAAGTTCTCTTTCCCGATCCCTGGGGTCTGCGATCCCCGCTCCCCCCCAGCCTCCTGTGTAGCGCCTGCGGGGGGAAGGAGCTGGAGAAGGGGATGTGCCCTGGCATCCCCGCATCCTGCAATAGCTCACAGTGGCGCCGTATGAGCGCGCCCCCTTTCTTTGGCTTCAGGGGTAACTAACAGGGGAGCAGGCACCTGCTCATTCACAAGATGGGCACCACCGAGACTCACGTGTGGCTTGGCGGGTTTTAGGAAGAGAGGGGGAGCACAGAAATGGCCAACTTAAGGCAGCGTCGCCGGGTTTTGTCAGGGAAACAGCATTCAACACACAGGTCGTTGGGGCAAAATGGTGTTTCCAATACGGTAGTATGAAGTGTTGCTTTGTGAGAATGTGGGGCCATTGTCTGCAGTATCTGGAACGCACTTGAATTTTGGAGCAACAGATCCAACATCTGGAACGCACTTGAATTTTGGAGCAACAGATGGAAATTTCTGGGAGTGGGTTGAGGGCGGGAGGACAGGGTAGGAAGGGATGGGCAGAGGAGTGTGCACCTAAGGGCCATGGAAGAGATGTATGTTTCCAGTGATTAGCCTGTGAGCCACTGTACCTGCAATACTATTCAGGTGACTATATAGGGACACTTGAAGGTAATTTTTCTGAGTAGGGTGTATAGGAAGGAATGAGAAGGACTTGATGGAAGAACTGGCAACATTCTGGAAATGGCCCACCTTGATTATCACTACAAAAGGTTTTTCCCCCCCAGCTCTCCTGCTCACCTTACCTCATCACTCTTGTTACAGTGTGTATGGTAACATTGTTTCATGTTCTCTGTGTATATAAATCTGCCCACTGTATTTTCCACTGCATGCATCCAATGAAGTGGGCTGTAGCTCATGAAAGCTTATGCTCAAATAAATTTGTTAGTCTCTAAGGTGCCACAAGTACTCCTTTTTCTTTTTGGCAACATTCTTGTATTTAATCATGAAGGTGGGCAGAAACCACAAAATTAGATCCAGATCTTGAACATCCATAGTCCAAGGGGAATTTGGATCCAAAGTTTTGGTTTATGCCCATCCCAGTGAATGTTAATCTAATTTTGTATAGCAGCCAGCTCAGACTCTTAAAAATGTGTTTTTTTCCCAACAATCCGTACTGCTAATAAAAACATTTTCCTATCCCTGGGCTTGAAGGACATCATCTGTTTCTAGACAGTTCTTGCTTGGTTTTTAAACTGACTTGTCTAGGGAAAGCAAATCCTTTAATTTCACAAATGTTAGTAATGTACTCCTGCCCCTCTGTCTTTTATTTGGTGCTCAGACACTAACATGGACATAATCAATAAGCAGAGTAGCCCAATCTGTGGCTGGACTTACTTCATACTCATACTGTGCATTATGGGGACCTTCTGGTCTGTAGGCACCAGGTCTACCAGGCGAGTCAAAAGGAAGCCTTCCTTGGTGTAGACAGTAGAAGCTGTGGTAACTCTCCTTGGCTGGAAGTTTTTCTTTGTCTCTCTCTCTCTGTTGCATTCTGAGAAGTTCTATAAGGGTAGGGTCTGATTCTGCAAATCCATACACATGTGCATCCTCCCATCGAGGTAACAAGGACCATTTGGATAAGGGTTTGCACGATTGAGCCTGTAAGGAGAGAATCGCCCCACTGCAGAGAGCCAGCATCACTATGCTTATGCATCATATTTTGAGCAAAAGGCTGGTATTTTCATGGGAACTTAAAGGAGATAGCTGGACAAATCTCACTGAGTTTCAGTGGGAGTTGGGTGCTTAAATTCCTTAAACTCCTTTGCAAAAAGAAAAGGAGTACTTGTGGCACCTTAGAGACTAACCAATTTATTTGAGCATGAGCTTTCGTGAGCTACAGCTCACTTCATCAGATGTATCTGTATCGTGAGATGTATCTCACGAAAGCTCATGCTCAAATAAATTGGTTAGTCTCTAAGGTGCCACAAGTACTCCTTTTCTTTTTGCGAATACAGACTAACACGGCTGTTCCTCTTAAACTCCTTTGGTAATCTCAACCCTAAATGGTGTATTGGCTTTGTGGAGGCTCTGTTCACAGGAGTGAATTATACCCCAGAGAATGAGCTTTTCACCTAGGGCTTTGGAGCAGAGTCCGGAGCTGGAGTGCGGAGCAGCTCTAGAGCACTGGAGCTGCAGGTTTTTGCCTGGAGCTGGAGCGGAGCCGGAGCACAGCTCCAAAGCCCTGTTTTCACCACAGAGAGACTCTTTCCTTTTCCTTTGTTTTGTGTTTCTGTGAGCTGGTTCTGCTTTACATTTTATCACATAGTGAGTGACCTCATTGTGCCTGTCAACATGGAACCTTCATGTATTTGGCTTTGATTGTCATTTTGTCTTCATTTGGAGGAGCCTATGATGCAAATAGGTTGTTTAGCCTATTGAGGTTATTTGGCATAAATGCTTTAAAATAACATGAAATAAGCTCAGTATTGGTGGTGAAATTCTGGCCCCTTTGAAGTCAGTGGCAAAATTCCCATTGACTTCAGTAAGCCAGGATTTCATCCTGGGTGTACAAACACCTCAAAATGTGCAGGTGCGTGGATGTTGTATTGGTACAATAATATGTCTTAGATGCTCCAGGAATCTTGAATTGGGCTGTCTAGATATAGGGAAAATTCTGGAGGGTTCATCTGATTTGTGTGAAAATTGTAGATAATACAGTGAAATAATTATTGGTGAAGAACTGCAAGTTACCAAAGGCATTGAAATGTGGAGAGAAGTGTTCTCTGTTATGGATTCTGATGGTCTAAACAGAGCACAGCAAACTCCTTTCATTTTATCTAAAGAGAAAGAGCGTGCACAAAGTTAGGACCTGATCCCCCAACACTTCCTCAGATAGGATTATTGCCATGAGTGAGGGTATGCAGGATGGGCCCTTAATACCCACTCTTGTGAGGTGCTTTACACCATCAACTCAGACTGAACGGAGGGTGCACAAAAGTGAACTGGGTCAGTACAGTTGGGGGACGAAGGCCCTGAGTAGGTAAAAGAGTTAACAGATGTTTGGAACTGATTAACATCTTCACTAGGTACAGGAGATTGTGCTGATGTGGCTGGATTGAGCAATGCTTATTACCATTTAATGTTTTTAAATTCAGGTTTACCATTCAAAGATATGCCTGTAAGCAATAGGTGCACAAAAAAGCAATGACAGTAAGACTGGACAGCATGAAGTCATAAAAATCAAGGCAAAAGTAAGAGCCCTTTCTGGTGTATTTAAGAAATTAGCATAGTGGGAGCAAACTCTGTGGTGTTCATTATCATTTGTATTACAGCAGTGCCTGGAAGCCTTCACCGAGGTCAGGGTCCCATTGTGTTGGGCATCACACTCCTAATAGGAGACAGTCCCTGTCCTGATCAGCTTGCAAACTAAATAGAAAAGACACATACAAGATAGGAGAAGGGGATTTATTATCATCCCCATTTTACAGAGGCACACAGAGATTGACCTCTCCTGTGCCACAGCCCAGTTCGTTAAGCCACAAGTACAGTTTCATCTTGACATTCAGCACATGTCCACAAAGGGTACAACTACACCGCAGCTGGGAAGATGTAATTTCCCAGCTCGGGTAGAGGTACACTTGCTCGAGCTAACAGGCTGAAATAGCAGTGTGGCTGCACTGGCTAAGGCTAGCCTTCCAAGTACATACCTCGGATTTTGGCCAGGGTTGTACTTGAGCAGCTGGTCTGAGCCACCACACATACCACACTGCTGATTTTAGCATGCTAGCTCGAGCACAGCTAATGCACGTATGCCTACCTGAGTTGCACGGGGTATGCCTGCCAGTTGCACTGTAGACGTAAGTGAAGTGTGGTTTGTTGGACTGCAGGTTCTACGTAGAGCCCTTTGTTCTGGTTCTTGGAATGGACCTCAACACAGCCCGGGGGAGACAGACTTGAGCTAGTGGTCTAAAACAGCTTTGTAGACTCTATGAGGTTTCGGCTAGGACCTGGTGCCAGATTTCCAGTTAGGCACAGTAGGCACGTGCCTAGGGGTACTGGCATTCTAGGGGCGCCTAAAAGTTAAAAGAGGGCTCCTGGCAGGAGTTGGTGGCTGCCCAGTGTATGGGTATGGAGCAGGGTGAGCATCCGAGTCAGCCCGCCTGGGGGCGCTGTGAGTAGGGCAGCTGCTGAAGGTGCTGGGAGCATCCAAGCCCCTTCCCAATCTCGGAGGCCCTGCTGCCTCCGCCCCATGCTGGGAAGTGAGAGGGAGGGGCATGGCCAATGCCCCATTCGCTTGCACGGGTAGAATCAAAGTGCAGCTGCCATGCCGGGCTGTGGGAGGGACGGAAGACACCAGGGGACCACTAGCCAAAGGGAGAGGTACAGTTCCCCCTTTGCACCTCGCCTGGGGCAGGTGGGCTGTGCCCTGGCTTGGGCTGGGAGGCTGTGCATGGCAGAGGGTTTCATGCCTTCCCAGGAAGGCTGTGCCCCAGCCTCCCCCGCTGCCCCGGGGGCCACTCCGCCAGCAGAGAGGGGGGCTAATGTTGGGCAGCACTGCTTTGAGGGGCTGCTGCAGGGAGGAAAGGGGCCAGTATATTGAGGCCAGCATAGATTTAATACAATACAAAATAAGTTTCACATTCATATTGGTGCAGGGTCAGGTGTAGGCGGCGGGGGGCGCTGAAGTTGCTGTGCCT